GACCTTCCTCTTTTTCCTAACCACACTCCATCGAATTTCCAAATCCAGAGGCAGCTGCCCAGCAACCACTTGCAACGCGTCCGTAGAAGTGGTTCTGTATGCCCCTGTGAGCGACAAAAGGGCCCTCCTCTGCTTGCTGCCTAGGAGTTTTACCGCCTTGGCCGTGAGCACACCCGACGCCCAGACCTCCGACGCGTAAGTGATACGAGGCAGGAATACCGCCTTGTATATTACGGCCGAAGTCGCTTGCCGGATGCCCCAGTTAGCCGAAGTCGCGGCCCTGAGCCTACTGTACAAGATATCGGACTTTCCGGCCACGCTCTTAACGTGCGCCCAGAAATTGCGTTTGCTGTCCAACTCCAAACCGAGATACCTAACCGAACTAACGGCCCCTATTCTCTGCTGCCCGAATTTTATGGAAAAGTCGGGCCGTAGTCCACCCTTCAGAGGCATGGCGTAGGACTTTGCTGCGGAGAAAGAGAGACCTCTCTCAGCCGCCCAGCCCCGCAACGAGCCGAGCGCGGTCCTAGCACGCCGCCGAATATCGCCAAGATCGGAGCCCGCGATAAGAACCGCCAGGTCATCCGCGTACGCGACGATTTTTACCCTATCGTGCCGAATGGTCGAAAGTGCCCTATCCATCGAGATGTTCCACAAACTGGGCCCTAACTGCGAACCTTGTGGGCAGCCTCTGGTGAGATCCGCGAAAGCAGTCGCTCCCTCCACCGAAAGCACCGCCTTCCTATTAGATAGATAACATTGAATGATGGACCTAGTCGCGTCAGACGCGCCAAGGCTCACCATATCCCTAAGCAGAACCTCCCATTTGAGGTTGTCAAAAGCTCCGGAAATATCTAGAAAAATCCCTATGACCGTGTCGGACCTGCTGTCAACCCAGTCGAGGCACGATCTCATCGCGCTGACCGTTGACTTGCCGACCCGGAAACCGTGTTGCTCTTCAGAGAGAGCCCCCCCGATCTCCGCCTCGAGTCTGTCGACAACCAGTCTCTCGAGCACCTTGGACAGAACTGGTAGCAGGCTCACCGGTCTGTACGACTTGGGGAGATGCGGGTCCCTATCCACTCCTTTACTGATCACGACCACCTCCGCCGTCTTCCAACAATCCGGAAAGAACGAATGCCGTATGCACAAGGAGAGGAAACTGGTGAAACGCGTCGAGATGACACTCCAGGCCCTCCTGAGCACACCGGCCGTGATGCCGTCCAGACCCGGAGCTTTGTTAGGGGCCATCCTCCACACGGCACCCTTAACCTCAGCCTCCGTTACCTCCGGCCTCACACGTCCCGTTATCCCTAACTCAAAAAAGGGAGCACGCCGATCCCGAGGGATCAGAGACTCCAAAAGACACTCGGCGGTCTCCCGCGCGGTCACCGTGAAGGTACCGTTCTCGCGAAGCACCGCATGGGGTACCCTACTCCTAGACGCGCCGTTCCTAGCCCACTTGTAGACCGGGCCCCAGACGTCTGAATTAGCGGAAGTTGCGAATTTCCGCCAAGACTCCGCCTTAGCCTTCCTAACCTTTTTCAGGTGCTCATTCCTGAGCCGCCTGTATTCGTCCCTATCCGCCAGTTTATAGTCGCGGGTGCGTCTGAAATTATTGAGACGTGTCTTGGACTCCGAGAGACCAACGTCCCACCACGGCGGTTTTATCCTACCGGACTTGCGGGTTCTAGGCATGGAGGCTTCCATCGCGCCTCTCAAAGCGGAGGTCAGAAAAACCGCCTCCGCTTCTAACCCGCCCGCCATGGTGTCATTGTACTCCGCGACTTTATGGGTCAGAACCGTCCTAAACCTATCCCAATCCGCTCTCCTAACGTTAAAACGACTTTTCCCTACCGCGGGCCCCTCCGGCCCGGATCCGACGCGGATCTTGAATCTGATGGTCCTGTGGTCGCTATCCGTGATATCGACCACTTCCCAACCAGAGACTGAGGTTGACAAGGAGGCCCCTCTCGTCAGTGTCACATCTATGTTCGATGCACCCATCCCCGACCTCTCGTACGTATCGAGACAGCCGGGTCTGTTGTGCACCGTCAAGTGCTTAACCGCGATCAGGGTTTCGACTCGAGCACCTCTGGCGTTACCGCTTTTGGTGCCCGGCTGACTGAACCACAAGCGAGAGG